TTTCATCAGTTCTATATATATCTTTGTGATCAACCCTTTATCGCTAGTTTTATGCAAGAAAATTTTTTGCCAAATCAATGGGATGTCTGTTTTTTTTGTAATGTCTCTTTTGCTGTACAGAAGCTCTTTAACTTGATGTAGTCCCATCTATTTATCCTTACCTCCACTATCATTACATTGGGTGTTGTATATTCAAAGATGTTACTGAAGTGTATGCATGTAGTGTTTCACCCATCTTTGCTTTCAGCTATTTTATGGTTTCCGTTCTTATGTCTAGGTCTTTAATCCACTTCAAGTTGATTTTTGTGTATGGTGCGAGGTAGTGATCTAGTGTCATTTTTTTGCATGTAGCTTCCCACTTTTCCCAGCACCATTTGCAGAACAAACTTTCTTGTTCCATTGTATCCTTCTTTGCTCCTTTGTCAAAGATTAGCTGTCATTAACCTGTGGGTTTATATCTGGGTTTTCTATCCAAATCCACTGGTCTGTATGTCTGTTCTTGTTCCAGTACCATGCAGTTTTGATTATTGTGGCTTTGTAGTATCGCTTTAAGTTTGGGATTGTAATGCCTCTATTCTCTTTCTTCTTAAGTCATGAGAGTTTTGGCAATTTGAGGTCTTTTGTTGTTCCATATAAATCTCATCAATACTTTTTCTATTTATTTGAAGAATGTCATTGAGACTTTTATTGGGATGCATTAAATCTGTATATTGTTAAAGCAACAGTTTTGTTGTCAAAATCTGTTCACCCTTACCAACTACCAATCAGCCCCTTAATAAGCAACCATAAAAAAGAGCTTCATTCATTATTACTTTAACTCAGTCCGCTCTAACAAGATACTATAGACTGGGTGGCTTAAACAACAAACATTTACTTCTTACAGTTCTGGCACCTGAAAAGTCCAAGGTCAAGGGGATGGCATAGTCACTGTCTAGTAAGGACCCTCTTCATAGCTGGTAGGTTGCCACTATATCTTCACATGGTTAAGCTAACTCCCAAATCTTTTCTTACAAGGGAACTAATTTCAACATGACCCCACCATCATGATCTCATTTAAACCTAATCACCTCCCAGAGGCCCTTTCTCCAAATACGATCATACAGAAGATCAGGGCTTCAAAATAGGAATCTAAGAGGACATAGTTCAGTCTACAGCAAACATGGTATCCCTGAGACAGAGCAGTGTTACAAAACAAGCTTAAGTGTTGTTCTGTGAGTGGTCTCCACTTTATGACATCTACATTTTGAAGAAAAGATGACTCAAGTCCCTAAGTTTTCAACATGAGCCCTAGTCTATAATCTTGCCTATTCCTCAATGATCTGGTAGATATATGCTAAAGCAGCTTTCTGAAGGGTATTAAAATGAAAGGAGTTACCAGCAAAGTGTTGACTGCTTTTTTAGGACTATTTTTTCCTCTTATTACTAATTTTCTACCTTTGGTGAGAATTTGACTTAGATTGGGAAGCAGAGCTCTAATCAGAGCAGGTAAATGTATGCTCTCACTGAGTCTAACCAAAAAGCATTTCTCTCAGGCCTACCTCTATCTTTGACCTGCTTCATGTAACTAATTTTGATGTGTTCTCATAACACTGGATGAGAACATAACATTTGGCAACATGTTTAATTTTTTTCAGCCTGTTTGCAAGTTTTCAGGAGAGACTTCACTTCTAACAGCTTCTCCAGGAATGCAGGACTATCTCTGAGCACCTCCATGAATTAACACCTTGCTTCTTCATCGAAGCCTGCTGAAAATGAGACTGACCAACCAGCCACCAACTCAGCAGATGAGGCACAGATACCACTTGCTAGCCATTACAAATTCTGCAGAAACAGCCAGAAACACGCAGCTAATTTGGGAACACCTGGACAGGCTAGTTGCTGTTGGAGAACAGGCTAATGCCCATTGTGAACTTGCCTGTGCTCTCTGTAGAGAGTCAGTGTTTGCAGTAAACCCACTGGCTGCAACTGTGGAAGGGCCTAAAGAAATTTAATGAACTCTCCACTCTGAATCCTGGGAAGGCTTGATCAACAGCTAGAAGAGATCGTTGCATGCACATTCTTCTAAGCCTTCAAGGTTAATGGTTTCTTAAGAGTATGTGGAGGGACCTGGAGCCAGAGTAAAAACAAGATCTACCCATCAAGAAGACGATGGAATCATAATTTCTCTCTTTAGTTTCCTCAGCTATTTAAATGTGTCTTAATTCTGATTCCCAGTTCCGGGTGAATAAAACTTTAATATAATTGCCATCAATCCACTGCTGAAATACATAGACAAGGTAGTTTCTACTACCATGATTTTAACAAGCTGTCATATTTTCTCTGTGAGTTCAATAAAACTAGACACAGATATCAAAAAGCAGGTTTTGTTTTTACTTTGTATGGGGCATATAAGATAGGAAAAGGGAACTAATACTTCACAGACATAGAAGGTGAAACTTTGAATGCAGGGTTATGAAATAACAAGTGGAAACTTGTATTAAAAGGAACCTCCAAAATGTCTTCCTTCCCTGAGGACTTAGTGCCTCTTTGCAGGCAGACATTTACAGATCTTAAGCACTTCTAAGGGAGTTAAATCCATGCTGTCTCACCTCATTTAAAATGTTTAGGTATATGTTTCCTTTGACTTATTTTACATAAATCCAAATTGCATCAGTTTGAGTGTAATTGCTATTATCTAAGTACTAATACAAAAAGTCATAGTTTGCAGCATTCTAACTTCCATTGTCATTTCCAATCATCAATAGGAAGAGGAGATTTAGTAATTTATTTGTATATTATTTTTTTAATCTCCAAATAGATCCCTAGAGAACAGAAATATCTGGAAACGCTTGATGTTTCATATAGAAGAATATAACACTCATGTCTAGACTTTTAAAAGAGCATGGTTTTGGTGGGAAAATTGGGCAATAACTGTAGTTAAGCAGCAGTGCGGGGAAGTGGTTCAAACCATCAGCCACAAAGCCGGGGGTTACTATGGCAATGTGTCAAAGCTCATGCAAGAAGGAAGGGGGCTCAAAGTTAGAGGCTCAGAGCTTTATTTACTTTTTGGACTTCTGTGAGTCTGCTGCTGTTAAATTTTTTTAAGCCAACAAAAATAGCCTGGGCCAGTTCATAAGAACAAGTGCATACTAAAGACTAAGGAAATTATGTGATGGTACACAAAAGCTAAGCTGGATATAATAAGAGGCCTAATGGACAAAATTGCTTGCTTAAGTTAAAATGGAAACAATATGGTTCTTTGACTGCTTTGTCTGTGTGGTTGCATGAAGTCATCATAAAATTAGGTTTTCTACCTGCTCTCATATAATCATTATCATTCCTGGGCTACCCCCTCAAAAAGAGAACATATAGATCAGTCTTTGGTTTAAGAATAATCTATTTTACTATAAATGGGAGAAACTAGATGTAGTATGTTCATTATATTAGGCATACAACCTATGTGCCCGCTCTGTAAGAGTTTCTTACCTATTTTTGCCTCGTCAATGTCCTACTAATGCATAAAGCCCTGCCAAAGTCCCTCTTCCAGAAAGACTTCCAAGAGCCCTTCTCCCTATAGTCATTAATATTCATCTTCCTTCTTCCCCCACAGCCTTCTCCTTTCCATCTTAGCACATTATAAAATGTTTTATGTTTACTATATATGTGTTTTGTCCCCTCTAAATTACAATCTCCCTAATGGTTTACTCATCCTTTCAAAGCAAGCAGCACATCACAATGTTAGATGCCAAATGTTAGTTAATCTGAGAGAGCAATGGAAATATATATCTAATTGGGAGGGAATACATAATCTAATAGAATTTCAACTCCATGTGTATTTGTACACATTTTCAAATCTTAGACTTCTGATGGCACACAATGTAACTGACACAAAAGAATATTAAACTATTAAGCAATAATTACAGTATGACTAAGGGTTGGGGGCAAAGAGATGATAGTCAGAGTACAAACTTCCCAACTATAAGGTGAATACATTCCGGAGGCATAATATACAGAATGATGTTATAGCTAATATACTTAAGCATATACTTGACAACTGCTAAGAGAATATATCTGAAGTGTCCTTACCACAAAAAGGAAATGATAATTATGTGACGCAATGCAGGTGTTAGTTATGGTGGCAATTATCTTGCAATTATAGTATATCAAATCACACTATACACCTTAGTGTTATATGCTAGTTATATCTCAAGAAAGCTGGAAAAAATAGAGTATATTTGTAATCTAGTGTGCCATACTATGTCATAATCCCGTTATAAGAATATCTGTAAACAGTGCCATAGCCACAGCAACATTTATCTGGTTACTCTTCAGTGTCACATCAGTGAAGTGTCCCAACTACTTTCCTATATATTCCCAATATACAAAGTTCCAATATTTAACTCTGCTTCCTAGCTCTTACTCATACCGCATTGCACCTGTTCGCTCTATGTCACACCATCTAAAAGATGCTATTGTCACAATACATGTCCCCATTGTTGCCGAACTTGGCTTAATGAAGGATTTAATAAAGGATTTGCAATCAACCAGTATGGATATGGCATACCAGTTGAAAACCACTATCTTAAAATATCTCTCTGATCTTGATATCTTTGTAACCAAACTCTAGGCATTTCTACTCTTGGGGTTAGTGGTGGTTAGTGGTGCTTTTCAAATACTATATTCTCTTTCTAGTTCTATGCTGCTTCTTTGCCCAATTGGTGGAAGAATTTTACCTAAATCCCCCAGTCTTTAGAGAAAGGCCGCAAAGTTCTAATTAGCAAAGTTCTAATTAGTCAAGTGCCTTGACTTTAGAGCAGCAAGCCTGATTCATCTATACTGGATAACTCCAGTAAGCACCATTTCACTGTCTTTTCTATCCTGTGGCTTGTAAGCTTTCATTCTCCATTCAGCTTAATCAACTTACCATAACTTTAACACCCAAACTCTTATTCCTAAGATAGTTGTAGTTAGTCACAGGTTCAGTGGTCATGTGTCGATTTTCCAAGGGCAACCTCAGTTTACACCTATCATTTTGTTAGAAACTTGTTTCATGCTTTAAAGGTCCTGGTCTGACAATTATATGTTTACCTGGTCATACAACACATAGGAGATATTTCTGGTCTCTAACCGAGGAATAGCCAAAGAAGTATATATGTAGATTGGGCAGTTTTTTCCTTGTGATTTACCATTGTTCTCTAATTCACATGCCTATAACAATGTAAACCAATAGTTTCTAGTTATTGTAATTTGACTGGGTAAAACATCACTGGGGTAATGTTTTGAAGCTAATCTCACATGTCTGTTCTCAGGTTCCTCTCCTTGCTGAAGTTTATGGTATAGAGGGAAATATCTTCAGGCTTAAAATCAATGAAGAGACTCCCCTAAAACCTAGGTATGAAGTTCCAGATGTCCTTACAAGCAAGCCACGCACTGTAAGGTAAGCCAAGAAACAAGATATCTTGGTAATCCCCTCAATTTATCCTTTTAGCAGTTCTTCTATGGTAGATTTTGTTAGGAACCTCTTTCTCACATCCTGTCTCTTCAGAGTTAAAGTCATTGGCAGAGTTATTTTTCAGCTATTTGGGGATAAGTTGATCCATTTGAATCCTGTTTTGTCTGTTTTGTCTTCATCTACCATTTAACTCATCAGCACTTATTAGTGGGAGAGGCAGCTTTTTGATCTGTTCTCCTTCTCACAAAGAAAACAGTTTATCAATCAGGTGTTGAGAACAACTAAGGGAGCTATTTAATTTACTCACTGAGATTAGCAACAGGACTCCAGAGATCTCATATACTAAGCCAAACTCCCATACTTCTGGTTATTTGTACAATAGATTGACCCACTTTTAATTAGAGCAGTCTCAGAAGTCCAACATGTAGTTTGACTTAGAAGTTAGTAAATTAATAATCAGTGTCTAATGGGAAAAAAAATTGCGGGATTAAAGCTTTTTCCATACCCCTGAAAAACCTTCATCTAACCGCACCATGCTTTTCAGTAACATTTCTATTTGGTTCTACCTGTTGATTTGTTATTTTGTGCATTTTTATTTCACTTAAATAGATTAAGATTATGCCATATGTTTTAAGGTTAACAACATCATTACCACATCTTGATGTAGATTATCTCCCCAGTGAAATTATATAACAAGTGATCAATAGATTGTAAGAAGAAATTAATTAAGCTACATTATGGTAGAACAGTCATAAATTTGAAATACATCTATTCATTAAGCTGCTATTATATACCCAAAGCAGACTTCTTTGAAGGCATCAGCAGTTTGGGCAAATGGTACAATATATATAAATGCAACATATATAAAAACACTTGGTCAGGGTACATTACTTTTTACTGTCCTGGAGAATTCATTTTGCTAGCTGAAGCTTTAAAATTTTTACATCTGTAAAATAGCCTATAGTTGGGTTTTCTTCCCTGTACTATCTTTGTCATCTCTCAGGGTTAGGGTGATATAAGCTAGATGTCATGAAGATAGCATATTCGTTCTGCTTCTGTTTCAACCTCTTTCTAAAGGCCTTCAACTATTAAGAGTTAACTAGAATGATTAATACTACATTTCTCCATTTCCCAGACTCCCATGCAGCTAGGTTCTGGTGTAATTCAGGTTTCACGAATCCAAGGTGCACTTGTGAGAATCTCAATTTCAGAATTGAGTCCCCCATTTTACCAGAATGAATCTGACAGGTGTAGAACAGCTCTAGAGCTCCACTAGTTAGAGAGGTGGTTTCCTGGTCTCCCAATAGAAGTAAGGTGGCATGATCCTGGAGCCCTGCAGCTATGACAGTGTCTTCCAAGTGTCCCACTTCCTGATTCTTAGCAGAGAGAGAAATTCTGTTGGCCATACAGTTATGTAGCATGCTCTAGGGAGCCATTATTGAACACACAGCTAGGAACCTGCTCCTAATCCCTCATATTAAACTGTGAACTTTCTGCTTAAAGTAATGAGAGTAGTTTCTGTTATCTGCAGATGAGTTCTGTTTAATGTACTTATTGGCACCAGAGTGAATTTAAGCAACAGGACCTGAATAATGGTAATATTAGAATATGAGACCTAGTTATCTGGGTCTCATTAGATTCAAAGACAGTGAGAATTCAGTTATCATTAGAAGATGAAATGTCAGTGCTATGATGAAGTGTGCCCCCCAACCCTTTTATATGATGAAGCTCTAGCCCCTTGTATCTCAATGTGACTATCTGCAAAAATTGGGCCATCGAGAGGTAACTAAATTAAAATGGAGTCATCTGGGAAAGCCCTAATCCAATAAATCTTTTATTGAAAGAGGAGGCTAGGATACAGATCACACAAACAGGAGGATAATCATATGAGGACACTAGCAAAGTAATACACCTAGTAAAAAACCATGGCAATGAGAGGCAAAGTTACTTAAATTAGCTGCCTGTGGCCAACTTAATAAAATGTCTATTGAAAGCATGGCTCTGGCAGATCAAGTAGTAGGGCTATAGCATAGCATTATTATCACATAGAATTCAAAACTCTGAGGTGGCTGTTTATTTTTTTTTTAAAGATTTATTTATTTATACAGAACTGGGGTACAGGCCAGAGATGCGGAGGGTGAGAGAGTCACTAGGAACAGAGTGGGGAGCAGAACAGGCAGATCAACAAAGTACACTGCTGAGGGGAGCAGCAGGCGGGTCAGGAGAGGTCTGCCACGCCATGTGGATCTCCTCCAGGGTAGGCGGGGATCGAACTCATGTGGTAGTGGCCTAAGCCTCTCTAACTCATGCGGTAGTGGCCTAAGCCTCTTAGTGCAATGCTTTAACCCGCTGTACCACCAGGGAGGGCCCTGAGGTGGCTGTTTACTAACCTCACTGAGTAACTTAAACAAAAAATAGCAAAGCAGCGCTTTAACTCCTTAGCTCAAGACACTGTCAGTGGATATGACAACCCTAAAAGTCTTTTCTGTCTCTGGTAGTTATAGAATTCTTTATAGCAGAAAATCAGAGTTTGATACTATAATAGAGTGAGGAATTAGACTATAAGTTGAAACTACAACTTCATCAGATCTGTGAATTTAGGGTATTAACTGGGAAAATGTATGTTGTCTCAAAATTTAATAATAACATTTGGAAAGATTTGGTTAACTGTAAGTATCCAAAACCTCAAAATTCTACAGAACATCCCATTCCGACAAACAGAACCTCTGCTCTGTCTGCCAGAGCTGATCTTACCTTGCTTGAAAACTACTTTTGATATGCCTGTAAGGGGATCCCAATATTGCCTGTGCTTCATTCTTTTCACCCTTCACTGCCCCCAGGCCCTCTATCAGAGTCATAGCCCAATATACCCAGAGAACTAATTACATCAAACCTTAGAAAGGCCCTCAATCTAAAGAATTAAAAGCTTGCACATTAGAAAAAACCTGGGAAATGTGTGTAGAAATGTTTGAGAAATTCCTAGACCAGACGAAAGGGACATATTTTTGGGTTATGCTAGATTTACTGACATGGGTTCAAGTACCAGAGAATATATATTTGATATGCCTACTTGAATAGCTAGGAGTGGTTCTAATTGTGTTGGAATGAGTGGGGGGAAAAAAGGCATTTAGAGTCTGTGCACCAATGTGTTACTACACTGTCCAGACCAAGGTAATGAGGATGATAGTTAACACTTACTGAGTGCTTGTTATGTGCCAGGCTCTATGGTAAGTGCTTTATGTGTGTGATCTCATGTGATTCTCAAAAAGCTCCATTTGCTCTTACTTTTATTATTTTCACTTTACAGGTTAGGAAACTGAAAATGATTAACATGTATAAAGTTATATTCTTAGTGCATGGTAGAGTTATGCTTAAGCCAGTCTCTCTGATGCCAAATCCCATACCTTCCATGAGTATTCTCTACCGCTGTATCTGTGCTATATCACATGAATATTGACTTACTAATTAATTACTTTAAATTGAGACTCCATAGAGCCATAACCCTGGAGCAACTTATTTGTCTTTTCCTGCTTTGTTTTCTAGGTTGATTGAACACACAGAGGATATAGGCAGCCTGGTATTGGCAGATGGAAAAGGAGATTTGAAGTTACATATCTCAGCAAACCCATTCAAGGTAGACTTGGTGTCTAAAGAAGAGGTTGTGATGAGCATAAACTCCCTGGGCCAACTGTACTTTGAGCACCTGCAAAGGTACTTTAGCACATTCCTTGTAAAGAACTTAAGAAAAAATTGTGAATAATTATAAATCAATAATATAGGTATTATATTGATCACATATATAGTTACTAGATAATATATCACCATAGAAAATTGATTTGCCTTTTTGCCTTATTTGATGGAATACTGTCCTAAGAAATTTCACTTTTGCACTTGTTTAGGTGAATGCAGGCTTTCTGACTAGAGCAATTCTCTAACTTTTGCAAATGTAGCACCCTTGATACTTCCTGTTAATATTGATAAATGTTAATGTGAAAAACATGTCTTCATAATTTCACTTTAACCCCTTACATAACATGAATTACTCTAGATTTAAAAACAAGCCCTCAAAACAGGTATTTGTAAATAAAAAGACAAATCGATCAATGGAACAAATGAAGACCCCCACTAATAGATCCATATAATTGTAGTAAACAGATCTTTGACAACAGTGAAGCCACGATAATAGAGCAGATAGTCATTTCAATAAGTGACTCTGGAAAAATTGGACATTCATATGCAAAAACATAATCTAGACACAGACCTTCTACCCTTCCCCAAAATTAATTCAAAATGGATCATAGGCCTACATATAAAATGCAAAACTTAAAACTCCTAGGAAAGGAGAAAACTCAGATTACTTAGAATATGGCAATGATTTTTCATATATAACACCAAAGTCAAAATCTTTGAAAGAAATAGCTGATAAGCTGGACTTCACTGAAATTAACAACTGTTAATCTTTGAAAAACAATGTCAATAGAATTAGAAGATAAGCCAGAAAAATATTTGAAAAATACACATCTGAGGCCCTCCCTGGTGGCATAGCGGGTTAAAGCACAGCACTGAGAAGCCGTTTCTACATGAGTTTGATTCCCACCTCCCCCAGAGGTGACCACATGGCGTGGCACCGCCAGCTGCTCCCCTCAGCAGTGTACTTCGTCGATCTGTCTGTTCTGCTCCCCACTCTGTCTCTGGCGAAGCCTCTCGCTGCCCCTGAGCCTCTGGCCTGTACCCCAGTTCTGTATGCACAAATAAATAAATCTTTAAAAAAAAAAAAAGAATAAAGAACACTAATTCAAAGAGATATGTACATTGCAGAACAGAATAACCAAGACCTAGAATAGCCCCTATCTAACAAGTAGATAAAGAAGGCACTGGAATATTAGAATATTATTCAGTTATTAAAAAGAGGAAATCCTGCCAACACGAATGGATCTACAGGATATCATACTAGTGAATTGAGCCACACAGAGAAAAACAAACACCGTATAACTTCATTTATATATAGTATACAGAGAAAACAAAACAAACCAAACTTAGATGAACTAAGTCAGACAAACCTTTTGAACTATAAGACCAATTAGTGGTTACCAGAAGGAAAGGAGAAAAGAAAGGGGGCATAAATCATCAAGACTAGGAGGTCAATTGTATGATGAAAGATAGAACTGGAGTTTTAGTGGTTACTTCATATAATATATGCACATATTTTCAGTAAGTATACCTGAAATTACACAGTGCAATAGTACTTCAATAGAAAAGGAACACAAATAAATTGAAAACTAAAATAAAAATCTTATGTCCACACAAAAATCTGCACATAGAGTTTTATAGCAACTTCATTCTTAATTGCCAAAACTTGGAAACAACCAAGAAATTCTTCAGTAGATAAACTGGGACACACTAGACAATGGACTGTTAATTGACCATACAAGAAAGTGAGCTAAACAGGCCTTGAAAAGACATGGAGGATCCTTAAATGTTTTTACCAAGTGAGTACAGTCTATGTGATTCCAACTATATGACATTCTGGAAAGGACAAAACTATGAAGATAGTGAAAAGATTAGCAGTTTCAGGGAATAAGAGAGCAAGAGCAACAAGTAGGCAGAGAACAGAAGATTTTTAGGTCAATGAAAATATTCTACTTGATACCACAATGATAGATATATGATATTATACATTTGTCAAAGTCCATGGAAAACATAACATCAAGAGTGAACCCAAATGTAAACTATGGACTTTAGTTGATAATGTACCACTCTAATGTGGGTGTTTTTAATGGGAGATTGTGGATGTGTGGGAACAATAAATGTGTGGGAACTCTTGGTACTTTCTGCTCAATTTTGCTGTTAACCTAAAACTGCGCTAATAAAGTATTGATACTTTTTAAATTAAAAAGCAACATACTGATGAAAAATTTTCATGTATACAAAAGCCAAAAATTAACATATATAAGAGCTTGCCTCAATAGGAAAAGGAAAAGCAAACTGCATATTAACATCATGATCTCAAAAATTTTAATGAGTGAAAAAAATCACAAAAAAATATATGTAGTGTATCTCCATTTGTATAAAAGATTTTTTAAGGCTAAGCCGAATAATAGATATTTGGTGTTGCTTACATATGTGAGAATAATATTTTTTAAAAAATAAGGGATTGATTTCACCCAAATTTAGTAAAGCACTACCTCTGAAGAGTGTGGAAGGAGACAGATCCATTTGAAGAGTGTACACAGAAACTCCCAAGGAACAAGATTTTTCTGCAGCTTATGCTTCTAATGGATTCATAGTTATTCATTTTAGTATGATTCTTTAAATTCTGTACAAACATTTTCTGTCTTCCAAATGCTAACGCGTAGTGAATCTGAATAGACAATTCACAGGAGAAATAAAAATGCCATTTAATGTATAAAAAGGCAGTCTACCTCACTAATGATCACAGAAATACAAATTGAAATCCATCATCTTTTTTAAAAATTAGATTGACAAAGATTCAAAAGATTGATAAAAGTCCAATACTGTTAAGAATGGGGAGAAATGAGCACTCAAAAACACATGTGGATAAAAGAGTAAGTTGCCACAGTCATTCTGAAAGATAGTATATTTGTTGCTGTGTACTACAGTAATAATGAAGAGAGGTGTTCTACCTTGTTTACTTGTTTTAAGTATTATGAGCATGTGTTACATTTCTAATAAAAGAAGTGATAAAGGTATTTTTTAAGTGTTAAGAAAATTCAAATATATTTTCATTTTTGTAAGAAATCAAACTACTGGATTAATGTTCAGTTTTATAAACTTTTATTTTTATAATGATATTATTTTTAGTAAGTTAAATACAATTTATGTGTCTCAAAAGTTGCAAATGAAAATCTGTATCATTGAACAAAATTCTGTCAGTCATGCTATGAGTAAAACAATTCTATTTATGTTATAACAGAGCTACCAAAGAAAATGAGGATGCATCTACTGACACCTGTCAGGTAATCCAGATTGAGCAACTTTTCTCTTTTTAATCTTTTCCATCATCATCATCTTTATGTGACAAACAGTTGTCTCTTTTCCTCCCTTCTATTGATGAGTAATTGTTACATGCTCTACTACATGTAAGTCAGCTTACCTGTCTCTTGCTTATCATCCCATTGAGTCTTTCATTCATTTGTTCATTTATGTATTCACTCCTTCAAAAATTAGATAATTGTCCCAGGCAAATTGATTATGCTAAGATAGGAGAATCATCTGTGAATAAAACAAATCCTAACCTGTTCCCATGAAACTTAGAATCTTCTGGGAAAGACAGACACTGAGTAATTAATAGCATGAGGAGTGTTATAAAGGGTTCTATGGGAGAACACAGCTAGGAACTTGACCAAGTTGAGAGTTTGGAAAGCTCTCCTAAAGCAAAAAATGCTAAAGCTGAAGCTGATGCCTGTCAAAAAGCTGGGTAAGGAATATTCCACATAGAGAATATTCCAATATCTTTCCATTGTCAAAGACACTGAGGTCACAAAGTTCACACTTGAGAATTTTATAGACATTCTCTTCGGGAGAGGAAAGCAAAGCAAAGAGTGCATGTAACAAGACTAGTGAGACAGGCAGGGGCAATTCTGTGAAGTCTTGTAATTCTTTTTTTTAATAAATATCTGTTGAGCACCTCCTAGACTCGATCTTGGTGACAGATCATTGAACAAATCAAACTCCTCTAGTAAGGAGCTTACAGCCTTCTAGTTCATTTTAACCTTTTAGACTTTATCCTAACAGCAAAGGAAAACTGGAAAACTAATCATTTTTCTATTTCTGCTATAGAGTCTGATTCTATTTTTAAGAATTTTTTACACCTGAAGGGGGAGATCCTCTAAACCATAGTGTCACCTCAATAACAATAGATTATTTAAAATAGTGAAAAAAGATTTTTTAGGCCCTCCCTGGTGGCGCAGTGGGTTAAAGCACTGCATTGAGAAGCTAAAGCCACTTCCAAATGAGTTCGATTCCCGCCTGCCCCGGAGGAGACCACATGGCGTGGCAGACCTCTCCTGATCTGCCCGCTGCTCCCCTCAGCAGTGTACTTCATCGATCTGCCTCTTCTGCTCCCCACTCTGTCTCTGGTAAAGCCTCTCACCACCCCTGAGCCTCTGGCCTGTACCCCAGTTCTGTATGTACAAATAAATAAATCTTTAAAAAAAAAAAGATTTTTTAGCTAAAATGTGAGAAATGAACACTCCAGAAAATTTTTTTCATCAAAACCACATGCAATTTCAAGAGCCTTGATAGTTGCTATGGTCACCTGAATGATAAATTATAGCCAGCCTTATAAAGGAAGGAAATTCCAGTACATGCTATAAAATTGATGACAATTTGTATCACTGAACAAAATTCTCTCAGTTTCTCATATAGTGAAGACATTACACTGAATGAAATAAGTCTGTCACAAAAGGATAAATACTATCAAATACTTTATGATTCTACTTAATAAGATACCTAGAGTAGTCAAATTCAGAGACAGAAGTAGAATGGTGGTTGCCAGGAGATCTCGGAGGAAGGGAGCATTAGGGAACTATTACTGTTTAATGGGTACCGAGGTTTAGTTTGGGAACATGTAAAATTCCAAAGACAGAGATAATGATTGCTGTGCAGGGTGAATTAATGCCACTGAACTTAAGAATGGTAAAATTTTATGTATATTTTACCACAATAAAAAATATATTCTCATCAGCTTAGTTCAGAGGGAAAATTAGCATTAGTTAGAAGATATCTGTTTTCTTAACAGATTTGATTTTTTTTAATTTGTTGATACCATAAACTGGCCTTTTAAAAGGTTAGTTTTCTCTCTAGTTTTTTTTTTTTAAATTCAAATAAAATGTGCTATTATGGTCATATTTGTTGCAATTAATAAACTCTATTTGCTCTTTTTTTCCATTCCAACAGGAAAATCAAGAGGTTCTAGACCTGTGGGAAGAGAAATTTGGAAAATTTGTGGATATCAAAGCTAATGGTAAAATTAAAACTTGCATAGTGTTAAAATCATATTGTTCCAAAGTAGCTAAATGGCATTATGTAAATGTCTCTTGAGCTGTGGTACCTAAACAAGTAACTTATGTAAGGTGAACCAAATCTCAGATTTTGTTGTTGTTATTTGCTTTGGTCTTTTTAAAATTAATTTATTTTCTTACATTATTGTTAATTTTGGGACTGTATTTGATGAAACTTCAGATTTGGGTATCCTGTTCTTGGATAATACTTTGCAACAGAAAAATGTGGCTGTATACCTTTTGTGGGAAGTGCAGAGAAATGCAGACCTCATAAAGTTCGTGGTCTTGTAGAAGAGCCTGGGTACTGCTTGCAGGAGATTTAGCCGATCACACAGCTGCAAATTCCACATTCTATTTTTATGAAATTGAAATAATGTCACCAAGTTCCATCAGCCCCAAATTTCCAAACCAGTGGTTCTCAACCTTTTTCAAATCTCATGGGCATCGCATCTTTGACATTTCTCACTAGGTTTACTGATAGGATGGGCCGGGGTCTGGGAGGAAGTATGTCTCTTTAGGAGGTTATCTTTCAGATATAGGAGGCTTATGCAATTTGAAAAAACACTTTCCTCCTTTCTCCCAAACTTGTAGTATAACAGAGCTTCCCCAACTCCTTTAGAATCCCTGTTCTGGCTTCTATATCTAAACCTTAAACTTCGTATAAGGTTAAGGACGATAAGGATTTGAAATGTGCTCAAAATTTACAAGTGGGGGATCCCTCAGACTCTCCTTTCTATAATATCATAATCCTTCTTACCTTCTGTATAGACCCCCCCTTTCAATAAGATGTCAAATACTTTTAAATGAGTGAATTTTAGCCTCTAAAATAATCATTAAATAAAGGACTTTGTCTTTGGTTAAAGGAAATGTATATATCTACAATCACAGAGAAGCAGGTATTTTGAAGAACATGAGTCCACCTAGGGCCCTTGACATTACAGTCCCTGTACACATTAAGGATAAACGATCTGGCAGAAGACACACAGTCTTTCATCTAGCAAAGATTAAAACTGATCAGTTTACTTTGCTTTCTTTTTTCCCCCAAAGATTTATTTATTTATGCATACAGAATTGGGGTACAGGCCAGAGAGGCAGAGAGAGAAGATTCACCAGAGACAGAGTGAGGAGCAGAACAGGCAGATGTACTGAAATACACTGCTGAGGGGAGCAGCGGGCAGGTCAGAAGAGGTCTGCCATGCCATGTGGGTCACCTCCCTGGCTGGAGATTGAACTTGTATTGCAGTAGCTGCAATAGCTTCATAGTGCTGTGCTTTAACCTGCTGCACCACCAAGGAGGGCCCCTTTAAAAAAATATATTTATTTATTTATGCATACAATAGCTGGGGTACAGGCCAGAGGTGGAGGGAGTGAGAGAATTCACCCAAGACAGAATGAGGAGCAGAACAGGCAGATGTACTGCTGAGGGGAACAGTGGGCAGGTCAGGAGAGGTCTGCTGTGCCATGTGGATCACCTCTCTGGCCACCTGGGAATCGAACTCATGCTGCAGTGGCTCAGATCGCTTCACAGTGCTGAGCTTTAACCTGTTGCGCCACCAGGAAGGGACCCTCCTTTGCTTTTTAAAAGCAAAGATGTATGCAATATATTTCATGAAAATTTATATTAGAAAGCTTCATTCAGCACATAGCTACAGAAACACAGCTATAGTAACTGACCAGGACTTTGCCTTGTTTATTTTTGTTTCTATCCTTATATTACCTGAATAGAACCTCTTACGGAGTCAACACACATGATCTACTGGTTGATCAGGGCAAGCTCAGGCCTCTCAGCCCTTAGTCTAGTCATCTTGCTACAGTCATAGTTACCTGAATCTCCTTAATTGATTGTCCCATTAAGTAGCAAAATTCAGTCAGTGTCCTTGTCCCTACAGGTCCTACCTCCATCGGTTTGGATTTTTCCTTGCATGGATTTGAACATCTCTACGGGATCCCACAACATGCAGAATCACACCAACTGAAAAATACTGGGTAAAGTAAAAACAGAATTCTTAAAGGGTCTGATTCTGGATTGAAAGGTTTAAAAGAAAATGGCTGAGCCAGTGCGAGTATGTACCTGCTTACAGTAGATCTCATCATGTAAGCTACTAGAAAAGGACTTTTCCTCCTTGATGTTGCTTGTGGATCTTTAAGAAGTTTCCTTGAATGATCACCCACAGCAGTGGTTTTTCATTTTTATTTTATCTTGGGCCAAAAAAAAGGTAGTTATAAAAACTTTAATGTTGAACCTAAAAAAAAAAAAGAGATACATATGTGAAAATATGAGCTACTGTGGATGAAATAGGGAGAAGAGTATCATGCCATCCCTGTGGTTTTGCTTTCACCTCTCAAGGCCTTTCTGTAGAACTCTCAGAGACTATGTCATGATATACTGACCTAGAAAAAAGCTTTAATAAAAATGGACAATGAATCAGAGAATGGAAAAAGAATGACATTTGTGTCACCTTTTGTCTCCTCAGCAAGATGGAAAACGAAAATTACTGACAAATGCCAAATGTATCAGGCTAAGAGGAAAGCAAAGTCAAAGAGAACCAGGGTTTGAGCAAGTTTGCCAAGTTCAAACCCAGGTGGGCACTGTGACAAGTGCATCTGAAACTGTGTTTCTCTCGTACAAACCTGAAAGCCCTCTCCTTACCCCAGTTCAATTACTGATCTTTTCCCGTCTAAAACTGCGAAGGTTGTAGGACACTACTCCTTGTCTGAGAACCAGAGAGGCAATGTACAAAATTTGACAGCGATGTTTATGTTCTATTGTGGAGGATTCACAGGAAACAGTCTTCTCCTCACAAAAGATATTCAAAAACTATCTAAAATAGGAAATCATGCATGTGTCCATCATCCCATAAGGAGATGCCACAGGAATCAAAGGACCATAACCACCCATGTTGAGAGGGGGTTTGTAGGAAGGTGGTAAAAGTGAACCTTGAAAGAGGTGCAGAACACAAGGGAAGAATGGAGTTCATCTATTCATACTAACTTAGTTGTGGGAACTGATGACAGTCCTTATTTGTGTGTTTCAGTGATGGGGATGCTTACCGTCTTTATAACCTGGATGTCTACGGATATAAAATACATGACAAAATGGGCATTTATGGCTCAGTGCCTTATCTCCTGGCCCACAAACTGGGCAGGACTCTGGGCATTTTCTGGCTGAATGCCTCAGAAACATTAGTGGAGATCAAGACAGAGCCCGAAGTAGAGGTGAGCTATGGAGCACGGCTGCATGTCACACCTTCAGAACAAAACCACTGAAGTGTACTCATAACTCTGGGCTTTCTCTGCCACCTAAGTCTTATGGCAAAATCAGTGAGTGTCAATGGCATCTACTATAGGATCAGGCTTTTACTTACATATGGGTCGGTGTTGTAGTTTATAGGGAAATTTTTCATACCTTCATTTCATTCCTTTTCTAGTACACACTGACCCAGATGGGCCCAGCTGCTGCTAAACAAAAGGTGAGGTCTAGAACTGATGTGCACTGGATGTCAGAGAGTGGAATCATTGATGTTTTCCTGCTGACGGGACCTACACCTTCTGACGTCTTCAAGCAGTATTCATACCTTACAGGTACTTTGTGGAAGTACTAGTTTCTGTCATGTTTATTGTACCCCATATATCCTCACTGTAAGCTATTTGTTGCACATCATGTAGAATTTATAAACAATGTATCCAAGCTTTGTAAGAAGCAAGCATTTCTTTGCCCTCCCCTTATCCCAGTCAGCTTGAGTAAATATACAAATCTATAACTCCTCTCCAAGCATTAACTCTTAATATTTGCCATCTGCCTGTTTTGCCAATCAGACATTCCTGTGTTCTATTCTTCATTAAAATTCACCACTAGCTTTAGTACTAAAAGCATTTCTGGGCTCTCCCTGGTAGTGCAGTGGGTTAAAGCACAGCACCAAGAAGCTAAAGCCACTTCTGCAAGAGTTCAATCCCCGCCTGCCCTGGAAGAGATCCACATGGCACGGCAGACCTCTCCCTGCCTGCTGCTCCCCTCAGCAGTATACTTCCTAGATCTGCCTGTTCTGCTCTCTCCTCTGTCTCTGGTGAATCCTCTCACTGCCCCTGCACCTCTGGCCTATACCGCAGTTCTGTATGAATGAATAAATAAATCTAAAATAAAAAAGAACTAAAAGCATTTCTTCTGAAAAAAGATCTCAGGGAGCCCCCTGGTGGCCTGGAGAATAAGTCTTGGCAGTATCATGATGGCCTGACTTAGAGCCCCAGCCAGCCACATGGCACAGCAGACCTCTCCTATCTTGACTGCTGCTCCCCTCAGAAATGTATTTCAGTCAGTCCGCCTGTTCTGCTCCCCACTCTGTCTCTGGTAAATCCTTTCACACACACATCTCCCCTGCCCCACCAACACCTCTGGCCTATACCTTAGTTCCTTCTACACACGGTATTTCCATTGTTAGTTTTTGAAGATAAATTTGCCATCCTAGTCTTATGAGTACAAATGTCCTTTTCCCCTCCTTGGAGATGCTAATGATAATGGTTTGGTGATTATGTTGGTTCTTGCATTGCCCCTATTTTCTCAGAAATCCTCTTATTCCATTTCTTTATGTGGATCCCTGACTAATTTTGGAGGCATATTCAATGTTGGGTGGCCTCTGGTATAGGTAGGCTTCATAGGCTGGCCTGCAGCCCTTTACAAATGGACTCTCTCCAGTTAGAACTTCTGATCTCTCTCACAATATAATCACCCTGGAATGTTTATTTTCCCCTAATCCTATCATGAATTTCTCTGCCTCTGTACCTTTCTATCCATTTTCCCTGTCCGGTCTATTCTTGCTTATTCTTCAATGTCCAAAACAGTGTAACCACCTCCAAGAAGCCTTTCAAGACCCTAAGCACCTCAGTAAAGGTAGAATTCATTAACGCAAGGTCCTCCCACAGCACTAGGATGATACCTTTAAGATCGCAGTTGCACCTCAGAACAGGGCAGTTTATTTACATACCTGCCTAATCAGCCAAATTGTCAACTTCTTGATATTCTAAATACCAAGCTCAGTGCTTAGTGTCCTGTAGGCATCCAGGAAGTGTTTATCACATATAAATCGTCATTGTGGTGGTAGCTAGCTCAGTTGTCGTTTTTCCTCTTGCAGGCACACAGGCCATGCCCCCTCTTTTTTCCTTGGGGTACCATCAGTGCCGCTGGAACTATGAAGATGAGCAGGATGTCAAAGCAGTGGATGCAGGATTTGATGACCACGACATTCCTTACGACGTCATGTGGCTAGATATAGAGCACACAGAGGGTAAAAGGTATTTCACCTGGGACAAGAAAAGATTCCCAAACCCTAAAGGGATGCAAGAGCTTCTCAGGAGCAAAAACCGTAAGGTAAAATAAGCAAACTCTTCTGAACCTTGTCATTGCAAAGCATCCTTTAATCTTAAAAACACGCTAGTGCAGGAGAACCAGCCGACAAAAAAAATGGTCATGGAAATAGTTGTAACTGTGAGAAGAGAATAAATAGTTAAATACAGTTGTAACTGTGAGAAGAGAATAACAGTGGTGAACAGAGCCATGCTGTCCTCCCCTGCCTTAGCTGCTGAGGTCCTGTGAGGGCAAGGAACTGCATACTGGGTTCCTCCTGCTGTGGTTACCCTCATGCAAAATTTGGTCAGGCTGCCAAGATTAATAGTGGCACACTAGTACTAAGAGGGTATGAAAAGACTAACCAGTTACTTAACGAGGTTTTCTCCCAAGCTGGTTTGATGACTTCAGAGAGACAGGAAAGGTAACTGGGTCAACTTTATCTATAGTGGGTAGAGGTGGGTCTGGGATAAGGATTCCTGCGTGGGGGCTGGTGCTTGCGTGGTTTGAACTTCCTGCTGGGACTACAGGAAAGAGTAGCAGGCGTTCATTATCAGCATGCCTAGACATGGGCCAGAAGGGTAAGGGGAGTGGTAGCGCCAGGGAGCTCTACCAGTCAAACCACAGTCAAAGAGCCATACTTTATTAGATCGTTTTTCCTGCCTGCTTCCTGATGAACTCCTCCTGTGTAGCTGGTCAAAAAAAGAACTAATTTAGAAAATGGGGAAGGGTATGTGTAGGTGTTGTGGTAGTGTACTAGCTATAATGAAGAGAGAGAGTATGATAAGAAAAAGGAGTGAGAAAAGGGGGGAACCCCCTATCAGTCATGCGATGACTTCTTGTGGTCCATCTCCCTGCACTTAAAGTCACCTTTCAACCCACTGCTTTGATCCCTGGACCTCTCATAAAGGTGGTCAGAGCTAATCCTGTTTACTCAATTTCCCCATAAATGCACAACTCCCATTTATAAAGCACTTACTGTGGTATGGAAAATACATTCTTCCATGCAGTCTTGACTGGATGCTACCCTGTTTCTAAGATGTAGAAAGGAAGGATTAGAATAGTTTCATATTTTGCACAGAAGCACACCATGGTGGCCCTCCCTGGTGGCGCAGCGGGTTAAAGCACAGCACTAAGAAGCTAAAGCCACTTCCGCATGAGTTCGATTTCTGCCTGCCCCAGAGGTGACCACATGGCGTGGCAGACCTCTCCTGACCTGCCCGCTGCTCCCCTCAGCAGTGTACTTCGTGGATCTGACTGTTCTGCTCCCTGCTGTCTCTGGTGAATCCTATCACCCTCCACATCTCTGGCCTGTACCCCAGTTCTGTATGAATAAATAAATAAATTTAAAAAAAAAAAAAAGAAGTTCACCATGAAAAGTACAGATTCTGAACCATGATCTGCCTAACTCCAGAACCTATGTCCTTATAAGAAGTTATTTATTGAGTTCTTCATATGTTCAAGATTTTGTGCTAATGCTGAAGGGTATGAGGAATTGAACTCATCAGGGTCTTATAGTTGAGGGGAAAACAAAGTAAAATCCAGAGCAACATGGGATGGTCACATCCTGGGCTAAGAAAGTTCAGGGTATGGACAGAACAAGACCATTGCAGCCTGCTGGCCTCAGCAAACTAAGTGCTTAGAGGTACTTTTCAGAGGAACCTTGAAGATGTGTCTCCAGTTAATGGAGAGAGGAGAATGAGAAGAGAGTAGTACAGTCTAAGACTACAACACTCAGTGGCATTTGTAAAACAGCACATGGCGAGGCTGACTAGACAGGAAAAGAAGGTGCATACGAGACTGAGTGCTGGGGAATCTGAACTTGTTGGCTGCTTTGTATGCATTTAGAGACAATAAACGTTTCTGAATAGAGTTAATATCCAGGGTCTACAACTCAGCATCAAAAAAGTCAACCTGATTAAAAATTGGGCAGAGGGCTTGATAGACATTTGTTTAAAGACACACAAATAAGCAAGTTCAACATCCCTAATCGTTAGGAAATTTAAATCAAAACCTGAATGTGTTAGCACTTCTTCAGGATGGATACCTTCAAAATATCAGATAATAATGAGTTAAAGTACTTGAGCACTGACAGTGAGAAAGCAAAATGGTGCAGCCATTTTGGAAATACTATGATGGTTCCTCAAAAAAAATTACCTTATGACACAACAGTCCCACTTATGGGTTTGTACATAAAAGAGAGGCCTCCCTGATGGCACAAGGGGTTAAAGCACAGCACTCTGAAGATGTCCAGAGACACTGCAGCATGAGTTCAATCTCTGGCTTGGGGGGTGACCCATACGGCTGAGCAGACCTCTCCCATCTCGCCTGCTGCTCCCCTCATCGGTGTGTTTCAGTATCTGCCTATTCTGCTCCCCACTCTGCTTATTCTCTAGTGAATCCTCTCACCCCTGCACCTCTGGCCTGTACCCCAGTTCTTGTATGTAAATAAATAAATCTTAAAAAATAATTGAAAGTAGGCCTTCCCTGGTGGTGCAGCGAGTTAAAGCACAGCACTGAGAATCTAAAGCCACTTCCGCATTAGTTCGATTCCCACCTGCCCCGGAGGTGACCACATGGCACGGCAGACCTCTCCTGACCTGCCCGCTGCTCCCCTCAGCAGTGTACTTTGTAGATCTCCCTGTTCTGCTCCCTACTCTGTCTCTGGTCAAGACTCTCGCCGCCCCTGAGCCTTTGGCCTGTACCCCAGTTCTGTATGAACAAATAAATAAATCTTTGAAAAAAAAAAATTGAAAGCAGGGACTCAAACAGATATTTGTAAGTCTGTGTTCATATCAACACCATTCACAGTAGTCAGAGGTAGAAACAAACAGATGAATGTATAAACAAAATGTGATATAGACATACACTGAAATATTATTCAGCCTTTAAAAAAGGGGGGAAGTTCTGATAGATGCTCCCACATAAAAGAACCTTGGGAACATTATGCTAAGTGAAATAAGCCAGTCACAAAAAGACAAATACTGTATGATTTACCTAATTAGTAATGCCTAGTCAAAATAATAGAGATAAAAGTAGAATGACAGTTGCCAGGGTCTGAAGCCAGGAAGGACTAAGGAGGTGTTCTTTTGTGGATATGGAGTTTCAGTTTTGCAAGATGAAAAGATTTCTGGAAATTGGTTGCACAATAATAATGCATTAACACCACTAACCTGTACCTGAAAACACTGAAGATGGTAAATTTTATATGTATTTATCATAATTAAAATTTTAAAGATAAATGTTTAAGCAATGATGAATTAGAATGCAGCATTGATTTTAAAACAGAGATGAGGAAGGATGAGCAGAAGGCTGTTCCAGTCTAATAAAGTGGTGGGGGCCCTAGGGTAGATGGCAGAGAGAGTGCAAGGAAGGCGGGGAGAGGTGCTAGAGTGACATTGTCGCCATGGGCCTGCAGTCACAGCTTTTCTCAAACTTCCTTCTTTAACACACCTGCGCCATTGAGTTGGGGGGAGGGGTGTTGTTTTTAATGCCAGTCTCTTATTTTTTTTAATGACTGCATTTGTCAGTGTTACCTTAGCCTTAGTTGTCTAGGAAGCAAGGACCCTGCCTGCTTACTCCTTTATGTCTAGCATCCAGCATGACAGAGAGAAGTTCATAAATGCTACCTTAAGAATACACATGGGGGCCCTCCCTGGTGGGGCAACCAGTTAAAGCACAGCACTACCAAGCTATCCACAGCTGCCTCACTGGAGTTTGATTACCGGCCAGGGAGGTGACCCAAATGGTCCAGAGGACCTCTCCTGACCCGCCCACTGCTCCCCTCAGCAGTGTACTTCATCAGTCTGCCTGTTTTGCTCCCCACTCTGTCTCTGGTGAATCCTTTCACTGTCCCTGCACCTCTGGCCTATACCCAGTTCTGTGTGCACAAATAAATATTTCTTTAAAAATAACACATATCGATTGGACAGCAATAATTATGAAAAAATGCTGACCTGGTTTTGATATCAATCTATATTCCATTAGCACATAAAAAGTTGCAAGGTCTTACTGGGGTCTAAAATATCTCAATACCAGTAGTATTTGTTTCTGAGTAAAATTTGAACCCAGAACTGTGGTGACACATATGAACTAATGAGATCTTCAACCTTTTCTGCCCTGATAGCTAGTGGTCATTTGTGACCCCCACATCAAGATTGATCCTGACTACTCAATATACACTGAAGCCAAAGAACAGGGCTTCTTTGTGAGGAATCAAGAAGGGGGAGACTTTGAAGGGGTCTGCTGGCCTGGTAAGACAACTCTTTATTCACTACTTATTTCCGCTTCTATGGTCTCCACTAATGGAGGTCACACACCCATCATTCTATACCTTGTAGGTGCCTCTTGCTACATTTTAAGAGCCTTTAAGAAAGAAATAGTATTACCTTCTTACGTATCTTTCATAATACCTGGTACAGTATACTTTATATACATTGATCAGTGAATAATAAGCAAGCCAAATAAAAACACAAAGGCAGTCAATGGGAACTGGAGAGGAGGAGAAAAACAAAAATGGCTCTGCAGTCTCTCCCTTTGACTATCAGCCCATAGTTGTGACTCCCAGATTTACATGAGTTGCCCTGGCAACTCCAGGTTCTTCATTTCAGAAATTATTAGGTTAAAGTATTGCAGAAAAGTTCTCAAGGACAAAAGAACAAAAATCAGTACTCTGTCATGTCACAGTACTCTTTAGTGCTGTTACAATCTATGCAGACCATGTGCTGTGGAGAAATCCCATATGTTCCATGCCCCTCAGGCCCCTCAGACCTGGAATTAACACTTTTCTGTCCTCCACCATTTACTTCGACTATCTTAGGCCATTAGTAAGGGGCAAGTTCAATTTGTTAGCTGAACAGTTAACATTTTGTTAAATGACATTTCCCTGGGCCTCTGGTATTGAACAATCTACTGATTATTGCTGGAGTCCAGTATTGCCCTCATTTGCTTCCCGCCTCTGTCACAGCTTTTATGTCTGATATAAGGTTCCCATTGTTATCCAGCATTCACACCCGGTACTCTTCTTTTTCAACACATCTTACCATCAGGAACACTGTTCCTAACAGGATACCTATTCTGCTTCTACAGGTCTCTCTTCTTACCTGGATTTCACCAACCCCAAGGTCAGAGAGTGGTATTCTGGTCTTTTTGCTTTCTCCGTTTATCAGGTTTGTTTGGTTTCTTCTACTGCTCTTAGTTACTTCAAAGGATGAAAGAAGGGGGGAAGTAATTGATTATAACTACTTTGCTTCATCAAATAGCTCTTGATAAGTAATGACTGTATGAAAAGGCAAGGAGAGCAACCATATTACAGACATTTGTTGTGCCAGGAAAGGCGCCGTGTATGTTACCAAATGCATAAAAGTAGTGATTTTGGTCTCATATATAAGACTCTGTGACATATCAATGTACTTTAAGATAGAAACTTACATTTCCAAATTTATATATATATATATATAAAATTTATATATATGTAAAGTAGTATTCTGTAACTGTTATTTTAAAATAATAAAATGATATGTGTGTATATATATATATATACAAATAGCTTACAAAATTATAAATGTCACTAAAAGTGAGGTATAATAATAAATCAATTCTTAAAATAATTTATAAGAACCACAACTGTAAATGTTGAATGATGGTGTTGTATACCTGAAACTAAGATAATGTTATAGGTAAAAGAATCATCTAAAGAACCTAAAGAGGCCACATCTAGATCACTGTTTCCAGACAATTATGATTATATAAATACATCTAATATAAATTGAGTATTTGCTGTGTCCCAAGCACTTTGCTAAGCACTTTTTGTGCATTGTTTGGTCTTCTAGTTAACCCCTCAGAAGTTTGAACTATAATTACATAATCCCACAATCAGAAAATTGACACACAGACAAGTTTTTAAAAACCTAAATTTACCTATGCAGTAAGTGGTAGACCTAAGGTTTGAACTCATCTGCTGCTCCAACTCCAGCTTTTATTCACTAAAATCTTGTTTCTGATCATCATGTATTATGACACAAAAAACAACTTAAGAGCAAAGATAAACAAACCTTATGGTAAATATGGCCGTGCTCATTTATTTCTCTCTTGTCTATGTCTGCTTTCACACTACAATAACTAACTGATTTACTGAGAAACAGAACTTACAGCCTGCAAAGTTGAAAGTATTTATTGTCTGGACTATTCCAGAAAAAGTTTGCCAACCCCTGTCTTAGAGTGTACTTAAGGACAGTCAAGATTGATAAATAATAGATAAAACATAATAGATAAAATTCCTTACCCTGTGGAGCTTTTATTCTAGCAGTAGAGCAGAGGACAGCACCTAGAGAATAAACATAAATGAAGCGGGAAAGAGGAATGGGGCAGCTATCACCTTAACTTTGTCACTGTAGAAGTATTGTCATGACCAGGGATCTACTGACATCCTCTACATATGGAATGACATGAATGAACCCTCCGTCTTTAGAGGGCCGGAGCTAACCATGCACAAGAATGCCATTCATCATGGCAACTGGGAGCACAGAGAACTGCACAACATCTACGGTTTTTATCAGGTGAGACATCCAGAAAGGAGACAGCAGGACCCATGTGCCCTACATTTTAGACAGAAAAATTATTTACTTTGTAATAGTCATACCCTACTGTTCATTTCTCTTCATGTGTCCTTTCTGATGACTGCTATGAGTCTTATCAGGTTGTACAAATAGAAGACTTCTCCCTTTGCATCTTTTCCTTTTATAATGAACTTGATGAATATTTGAATATTATGAGACTAATAATAACATATAAACAACTTCCTTGACAGGAGCCATTAGTAAATGCTATTGGATGTTACATCTAAACTTTTACTAAAGTAGGCAATGTATTTATACATAAGCAAAGACAAATTAAACATGTTTTGAAATTTCACAAATGTCTGAAAATAAAACTATTCCACTCATATCAGGGAAGAGCACATATATACATTTTCAGTACACTTTTGATATGTAAACATCCTTTCTCAAGTACTTAGTTTTCTGAATAGACGATGGTAGAATTGCTTTCCATTTGCCAGTCACATCCCAAAGTCCTGGCAGTCACCGCCCTTCTTTATACCATGGCTCTTTATTATTTTCAGAATCTAACACCAACTGGTATTTTTCCAGTTGGAGCAGCTGGCTAGATATAGTATGATTTTCAAATAGTATTTACTTCTCTGACAGCCTCTTACTGTCACTGAAAACTACTTTAGAGTATTTTCTTACATATATCAATATGAATCACAGTCTCCCTGAATTTGTTTTTTGTTTCTTCTTCCAATGAAACAAGGTTTTTGTGTAGATCATATGAAAAATATTATAAAATGTCTAGCAAGTATAAGCTCTAGACAAATAAACTCAAATAAACTCTAGCTTATTATTTACTGTTATTATTATTACTTACTAGCTTTTTATTTACTATTACTTCATTGCTGTTTCAGCCAAAGAAACTTTTCTGGTTTTTGGTTTTTTTTTGAGGTAACATTGGTCTACAACACTATATGATTTATTTCTGTTCTTTTAACAGGAGAGTTTAGATTAGTTTTCATTGCATCATGAAACAATTATTTAATAGATGTATGTTACTATTTTCTATTTCACATTCCCAACTATTATTTACTTTTTACATGTTAAATAGCTTATGAGGGATATCTGTACAATGCAAACATCTGAATATCCCTTTGAAAGTTTTCATCTTTGATTTTATAGCAAATGGCTACAGCAAAGGGACTGATACAACGATCTAGAGGGAAGGAGAGACCCTTTGTCCTTACACGTTCTTTCTTTGCTGGATCACAAAAGTATGGTAAGGAATGGCTCATATATTCAGACTTAGAAACATAAATTAGCAGCTGTCTGTGTGGCTTTTTTTTTTGATCACTTAAATTATATGGTACTACTGTATTGATGCCCTACTTTTCAGTTGTCACTGGGCAAGATTTAGATTATACAGGTGATAAGCCCTGAAATATGTGTTTTGTCCTATGAGATAAAGTAAACCAGTTTTACCAAAGTTTAGTTATTTAGTTTCCATTGAAGAAAAAATCACCTAATTACTGGGAGAATGATTTCAGTATCTCAGTTTGCTGGATTAGCTCTCTGATCCCATCTCTTTGATTTATCAAAACTGGGGAAAATATGCTTCTAGCATATTCCTTCAACTGCCTGTTCCACTTAGTAATATCACTTAAAATAGATGTGGCTGATATTTGTGGTCAGGGTCATCTATAACAGGATCTGGCTTACTGTTGGGCAGAAATAGTTCAACTTTACCCCCTGTGGCAGGCAGGCTATTTTAAGTTCCCTGCCTTGCACAAATAGCGAGGTCTAATGGAACTGAGGTCCTAGTTTGAATGATCCAGCCTTTACTGTACCATGGACACTATTATGCTTCCCCCTCCAGTCACCCTTTTAGGACTCTGGAAAAGACCAAAATATTGTCATCTCAGGCATTTCATGTCCATAGATGCTTTGATAATTCAAAGACATAGGATCAGAGAACTAATCCAGCAAATTGAGATACTCTGAAATCATTCTCCTAGTAATTAGGTGGTTTTTTCTTCAATGGAAACTAAGTAACTAAACTTTGGTAAAACTGGTTTGCTTTATCTCATAGGACAAAACACATATTTCAAGGCTTATCACCTGTATAATCTGAATCTTGCCCAGTATTATTCCTTTAAACAAAAACGATAGAAAATCCAAACATGTAACAACAGGGAAGAATTACAAAGGGTGTGTGTGTGTGTGTGTGAGAGAGAGAGAGAGAGAAAGAGAAACACCATGATAAGGCTATTTATAATAATAGCATTACCTTCAAAGAAAATATTTATGATTTCATGATAAGAAGGGAAGAAAGAAGCATGCCTAAATGCTTATATATTGTTGCAATTTTGGTGGTAGTATAAATAGAGAAAAATGATACCATGACCATCGTGAATAATTTAATTTTCCTCATCTCTCTTTTCCAAATTTTCTGTATCATTTTTCATCACTAAAGGTAATAAAGTACTTTAATGAAAACAATTATAAGTAATTGATAAAAAAAGACAATGGAGGCCCTCCCTGGTGGCGCAGCGGGTTAAAGCACTGCACTAAGAAGCTTAAGCCACTTCCGCATGAGTTAGATCCCCTCCTGCTCTGGAGGAGATCCACATGGCATGGCAGACCTCTCCTGACCCGCCCACTGCTCCCCTCAGCAGTGTACTTTGTAGATCTGCCTGTTCTGCTCCCTACTCTGTTCCTGGTGAATCCTCTCACCCTCCGCAAATCTGGCCTGTAGCCCAGTTCTGTATGAATAAATAAATAAATCTTTAAAAAAAAAAGACAATGGAAGATATGCATATTAATCTTTGATCTTTCTAAACATGGGCCCACTACCTAGTTTTTAGTATTCCTTATGAAGCTATCAGCTTTGCTTCAAAGTTTGTAACCAGTGAACCGTTACAGAGAACAATTGTGTTAAATCGTATGCTAAGGTCAGTAACCACAGAGAACTTCTAACTGCACAACCATGCAAGAAATGAAAACATCTGCATATTTCCATAAACTTTCCTTATTAATGAAAATGTTGTCCTATGGATCTCAAAATCAAGGAAAAATTATTAGAATACTATTTAAAAAGAATAGTTCCTTGAACATATTTTTCATTGCTGCCCTTAAGATAGCTTAAAATTCCTGTGGAAGAATAAAACAAAAATAGTTACCTCAACTATTTTAGTATAAGATAGGAAAAATGCTTCAGGAGAAAGCTAGATTTAATTTTTTTTTCCTTTTTTGGATCTCTTTATATAACCTCGCTTCACAAATTCACAAAATGTATTCCTCCCACATGGACATTCAATTGTCCAGCACCATTTATTGAAAAAGCTCCTTGTTCTACTGAATTGCCTTGGCAATTTGATACAAATAAATTGATCAAATATTTGTTGAACTCTCTGGACTGTCTATCCTATTCCACTAATCTGTATTAATTGTCTGTCTGGCCACAGTTGTACAGTAAACATGACCCCTGACTTTAAAGTCAGACTGCCTGAACCAAAGCCTATACCATCTAGTCGATTATGATATCATATTGTATATTATACTATAATATCCCCTCTTTATCATAATTCCAATTTAAAAAGTGTTTGCCTGATAAAGTTGTTTTGATGATTAAATGGGATAATACAAATGAAAAGCAAGACACCTGATTCAGGAAAAGCCCAATTAATGTTAATTTTTGATACTTCTACTGCTGTATCTCCCCTGTGTGGTCTATATCACTCCTCTTAGTTATAAAGGGATAGATTGGGGTGGAAGGAAGTGGGCCAGGAATACATTTTTAAAAAAAGAACTTCAACCCTTACCTCACATATACACAAAAAGTAACTCAGAATGGAATCTACGTCGCAATTATAAAAGCTAGAACAAAAAGCTTCTATAAGAAAACATGAGAGGTCCTCCCTGGTGGTGCGGCAGGTTAAAGCACAACATTGCAAGGCTAGCCACAGCCGCATCACTGTGAGATAGCTTTGTGGGCTCCAGAGTGACCCACATGGCGTGGCAGACCTCTCTTGCCTCACCCACTGCTCCCTCAGCAATGTACTTCGTTATTCTGCCTGTACTGCTCTCCACTCTGTCTCTGGTGAATGCTCTCACCACCCCTACACCTCTGGTCTGTACCCCAGTTCTGTAAGTATAAATAAATGAATCTTTGAGAAAATTTCTATAACTTTGAGATATGTAAAGTTATCTTGAATAAATCACAAAAACATGAACTATTAAAAAAAATAATAGGCCCTCCCTGGTGGCACAGCGGGTTAAAGCACTGCACTGAGAAGCTAAAGCCACTCCACTTCCGCATGAGTTCGATTACCGCCTGCCCTGGAGGTGACCAGGTGTGGCAGACCTCTTCTGACCCGTCCGCTGCTCCCCTCAGCAGTGTACTTCGTCAATCTGCCTGTTCTGCTCCCCACTCTGTCTCTGGTGAAGCCTCTCACCGCCCCTGAGCCTCTGGCCTGTACCCCGGTTCTGTATGTACAAATAAATAAATCTTTAAAAAATAATAATAATAATAATAAACTGTCCTCCACCAAAATTTAAAATTTCTACCCTTTCTAAGATTTTTAAGAGAAGTCAAGCAAGCCACAGATTGAAAGAAAATTTTATAGATGTCAAAAATTGTATATCCAAAATGTAAAAATTTTTACAATTAAACAAAAAAAGACAGTTTAGTTTTTAGAAATGAACAAAAGACTTGAATAGACCCTTTATGAAAGAAGACATGAATGATCATTAAACACACATAAAGACGTCCAATTAGTCTTTAGGGAAATGCAAATTAAAACCATAGAGAAACCCCACTACTTACCCCTTTAGTAGCTAGGATTAAAAAGAGTAACACCCCTTAAGTGTTGTCAGTACAGCAACTGGACTTTCATCTATTGTGAAGGTCAGCTGGTACAACTACTTAAACAGTTTAGAGCTTTCTTAAAGTATCTGACAACCTTCCTCCCAAGTATTTACCCAAGAGAAATGAAAACATCTCATACAAATATTTGTGCACAAATGTTTATAGCAGCTTCATTCATAATAGCTAAAATTTTGAAGAATTAAATGTCCCTACGTACGTGAATGGGCAAACAATTTGTGTTATATTCATCTGAAAGAATACTCTTCACCAAATAAGGAGTAAATTGCAGCATTATGCTGAGGGAAAAAGCCTAGAACAAAAGAGTATGTTTCCCGTCATATGAAATTCTAGAAAAGACTAATTTTTGACATAGAAAACAAATCCAGGGTTGGGTAAAAGAGAGGGTAAGACTACTGACTACAAAAGAAGTTCAAGTGAACCTTTATGGTGGTGATGACAAGATTTGTGCATTTTTCAGACTTCATCAAAATTTTCATTTAAAATAGGTACACTTATTGTATGTTACTTTTTAAAAAAAAAAAAAAGATTATTCGTACAGAACTGGGGTACAGGCCAGAGATGCGGAGGGTGAGAGGATTCACCAGAGACAGAGCGGGGAGCAGAACAGGTAGATCAACGAAGCACACTGCTGAGGGGAGCAGCGGACGGGTCAGGAGAGGTCTGCCGCGCCATGTGGTCACCTCCGGGGCAGGCGGGAATCAAACTCATGCGGAAGTGGTTTAAGCTTCTTTGTACTGTGCTTTAACCCGCTGCGCCACCAGGGAGGGCCCATATGTTACTTTTTTAATGTGCCTCCTGAAATCAGATTTGCAGTAGACTTCAAAAATAAGTGCACCTTCAGAAAATGTTCACATGCTGTTTGTTGTGTGGGTTTTAATGACTTTTCACATTAGGAAATTAATATATTTTCATTGTATAAAATAAATGTATTTTAAGGTAGGAAAGTGATGTTCTCCTTTATATTAATATATTTCCAATCTATTATATTTCTATAGCAAATGAAGAAGCTAAATATAAAATTGCATGTGTGGACTGACTAGTGATTTTCTTTTAATGCCTTGCCACTGGTAACCAAAGGTGCTGTATGGACAGGTGACAACACAGCAGAATGGAGTTACCTGAAAATTTCTATCCCAATGCTACTCACTCTCAGCATTACTGGGATCTCTTTTTGTGGAGGTAAGAGGATCCTCATGCTTGAAATGAAAGAAAAGAAAAAGTTAGGGTGTTTTGTTAAAAAAAAAAAACCTCAAGTCCCTTCTCACAAATCCCTGGTCACAAAATCCCTTGTCATTGGCTATTTTGGGCAGGGAGATGTGTGAGAAAGACAAAATGAAGAGCGTGGAGGAGAGCAGATTAGAAAGGAGATAAAAGGGGTGCTTCAGAGCTGAGCTGAGGACATAAAGTACCATGTCAGGGAGGAAGTCAGGGAGCTTCTTTCCCTCGTTCTCTTAATGCTTCCTTTACAGACACATATGATAACCAAGTTTCTCTTCCTGAAACGTCTTTTCTTCTTGAAACTGAAAGAAAATGGAAAGAATAAAAGTGAATTTAGAATATTAGAAAACAGTTTTACAGGAATCCTTTTTTACTCAACCGGTTTTAAATTCTGTGACATAATTCAACTTTAAAAAGATACGCTCTTTAAAAAGATAGATTTAGTTAAAATAAGATTCTACAGTTGACTGCCTTACCCAATTTCTGATAATTCTGTGTAGACCAGAGATCTCAATATGGAAGGTATTCAGCATGGCTACAATTCCAGGGCTGCTTGTTTTCTGAAGGAATAGTGGTAACTTACTATCACTTTTTTGAAACGTGTATTATTACAGCATCTATCCACATTCAGTAGGAGAAATAATGAATCCTGCTAAGGATGAAATTCTACATAGTTCTTTCTAATTTTATTTTACTTGAGCTGTAATGATTTTTTCCAAGGAAATCACTTGTTGTCATTACCACCCACCTCTAAATAGACATATTTAATCAGACAGACACTTTGCAACTTCTGGATTATCTGAGTTCGGGAACCTATAGGGATGTCAGCCTGGCTGGAAAGTCTCTGATCTTCTGACAAGGAGAAACGATTCAGAAAGTGTATTTTCAGATCCCCAAAAAGTTTGAGGCTTTTAGTAGGTGCTCCCAAATTTGAGTATATATGCAGTGCCTATCATTCCTCAAGACCAGATTTTTATCTCTGCCCATCATCTGTTATAAGCCTGGTTGTCTCACTTGGCCTCTCTTTGACTGAATAATCAGCTGATGTTGGTGGCTTCATTGGGAATCCAGAGGCAGAGCTGCTAGTGCGCTGGTACCAGGCCGGGGCATACCAGCCCTTCTTCCGTGGCCATGCCACCAAGGACACCAAACGACGGGAACCCTGGCTCTTCGGGCAGGAACACACCCGACTCATTCGGGAAGCCATCAGGGCACGCTACACCCTTCTGCCCTATTTGTATTCTCTGTTCTACCACGCACACGTGACGTCTGAACCTGTCATGAGGTAAAATGGCCCTCTGAATCATATGCAACGTTGTAAAATAAGGTTACCTCAAAACAAATAAAGCTTCACCAGCTAGGGCCCCTGCAACCAATAGATACCAGGACATCCCTCAGCTAGTACGTATGGAGTGATCTCCAGGGGAAAGGTGAAGATTGTGTTTCATCAACTGTTAATCAGCTTATGGATCTCCAACTGTGAGCAGAGTGCTGAGAACTGAGGTCACAGAAGATAAAAGCTGGGATCAGATCGCCTACTACTTTGATTCAAGTGTTAACATATGCTAGGAGACAGAAATAGAGCTTTTCAAATAACAATGAAGTGACTGTAACCGAATCATTTATTACCCACAGCATTCACTCAAAAAGAATAACTTATTCTGCCAGTTTCAGGTTCTTAGGGTTAAACCCTTAGGTTTGAAGACCCTCAGGTCTAAATAGTTTCAAGACTGATGCAAATGTATTTCCTAGTATAGATTTTATATGGAGGGCGGGAGATATAAAAAACACTTTTTAGTTCTAGAACAATATACACAGACACACACATACTATACCAAGACTTCAAGATCAGCAGTTCCTAGACCTGGCTTATAATCACCTGGGAAACTTTTTAAAAATACAGACTTGAAGGCTACACCTTCAAACTGACTAGGATGTCACACATCTGTATCTGTTAGCTGAATGTAAGTTGCTCTTATTAAAAGTATCTGTTCTTCATGAAATAATAAATACTAGGCTTGTTGATACAGATACATAAATACTGAAAGCTGTTATTTTTATAGGCACAAAACTTCTGACTGTGTACAATGAAACAAAAATTTTTTAATGCACCAAGTTTCTCACCCTCCCAAAAATGTTGCCAGTTTGACAAAACAAACATATTTTTTTCATTTAAATAGGTAGGTAGTGATCAAGGATGCATTAAAGGGAGTGATGGTGCTAAAAAAACAGCACAGATTTTACAATATTATAAAGTATGGATTTTACAGATATTGAATATGTTTGACACCAATATGTTAGACATTTGTTCCTGAAGAAAGCTCTCATTCATTTTCAGGCACTACTGAGTGCTCTACAATCAGAAGGAAAAATTGCAAGTGATAGAACTCTCAATCATAACAGATGGCCTTTTCAGATAAGGAAAAATATATGTAGTAATAGCAACTGCTCATAAAATCTTGACTCATATGAATAGTGAGTTGTGCCTCTTTAACCTTTCCCAGTTTCCGCTGAATACTTATAAAACTGCAAACAAAAGTAATTGGACTGTAATAAAAACATCTTAATGAAGTTGAAGAAAGCTTTTTCCCCCTTCCCTTAGGCCTCTGTGGATAGAGTTCCCTGAGGAATTCGAGACATTTGGTGTGGAAGATGAATACATGCTGGGTAAGCATTTCTTGACTAATTATAGTTATAATTATACTGTATATTTTTGTCATATTTTCTATGTAAGAATACTAAACGCACCCCCCAAAAGCCCATCAATAAGATTTTTAGTGTATAAGTGGATCATAACTCTAATCTAATTGTCATATATAGCTCTTCTCATAATTTCTGTTAATGTCCAATAAATTTATTCAACTCCCTAAATAACCTATAGTAAATATGTCAGTTGTCTCTATTTATGGATGCAATTAGGATTTTGTTCTGGGTCCATTCCTAAACTTGTCATACCACACAAGATAGGGAAGTAGTTAAAAGATAGATCATAATAAAGACCCATAAGAGCTTATTTCATACACAAAATAGAATTTTTTTATTGTTGCTGGCCTTATCTTGACACGGATTAGTCACCAAATGTAGAACATGGAGGTTTATCATTTTGGGAATAGGACTCAAGAAACTCAGCTCAATAGAGAATTGCCCAAAAGGTGAATCCTGTTTCTAAAGAATGGAAAGCCTTAAATGTAAAAAGCCTAGTTCTTTAGGTGTCTACTCATCCTTAGGCCTCAGTTTAAATGAACAACTACTTCCCTAAAGAAGCCTCCCCTGATAAAAATGGCATCCTAATACCTAATTCCACCTTCCTCAGTCAAAGTCATTTCCTTCTGTTCCATAACCTTTATTCCATTTTGTACTTTTTCCTTTTTGGTATTTGCTTTAATTCTAATTAATCTGCAATGACTGTTTAGTATCTGTATTCATAGGCTAAAACCCCCACAACGCAAGGGCCATATTGTTCTTTTTGACACACTATCCCCAGACCCTAGCATAATGCCTGGCATGCAATGGACTCTTAGTGAGTATTTGTTGAATTAGAGACTGAATTCATAAAATGATGTAGTTTACATACTTATGTGCCAGCTTCCAAACAAAATTAATAATCCAGATTGTCTCTAAGAAAAGTACAGCCTCCTTAGTGACAAGTGTTCAGTGAAGAGGATGTATCTACCGTATGACCTGACCACATTCTGGATAACAGCTGTAGCTTCGCCATTGTCAACATCACTTGTAACACACAGTGACACACTTGGTTAAGTACAGTGTCACTTTCAGGCTGTTGGCTCACTAGCAATTATGCACAAAATGAGACTATGCTAGACTGTGTCAGGATCCCTCTTGTCAGGGTTCCAGGGAGGGGCATGAGAGGTGATAATACTGTTACCTCTTCAAGCACCTGTCCTCTTGCTAACAATGCATCTCTGTAGTCATTGGTTGAGCTCACCAAGACCTCTGCTTCCAGGAAGTCCAGAGTCTTCTAAAGCATTCAGTGAAAAGGAAAAGATGTTTTTAGACTGCTAATGATAACATTCACTTTTCTTTCCTCTCCATTTTTAAGGGAGTGCTTTATTGATTCATCCAGTCACTGAACCAAGTGCCACCATGGTTGACGTGCTTCTGCCAGGAACAAGTGAGGTAAGAGTAAGTGATAAACAGCCACACTACTTTTATGTCTCACATCTCACCCCTTCATCCTGATGAGTTAGCCCATTAGAAACAGATGTCTTCATTATGCAGTTGTGAACACAGCTCAAATGACTGTGGCAACTGAAGATTCTTCTAAGTTATAACCACTCTCCCCAAAGGTCAAGAAACTTAATAAGGAGCAGGGAGAAAGCTGACTGGGTGACACTAAGGAGGGTCAGGATTTCTCTTTATCTTTACACTTCAATTTGTGACTAAGTGAATCCTCGCAAACATGTGAAAGCTTCAAGGTACTATGAAGAATCAAACTTGAGAGGATAGAGATAGGAGGGAATTTTCAGTATGAAGAGATCCTGCTGTGTGGTTTTGACTTAGTCTGAATCCAGACATGCCCCAAAGTAAGTAAATAGTAACAGTGACTTTCCTCTATCTCCCCTCCTGCCTTCCTTTGCACTTTTATTGGTTATACCATTGATTCCTGTCATTGCATACAATATCAGCCTGGACCTACTGGAGCCTGGGGCATTATACTCAGGCAGGGCACAGCAGAGGTGGGAATAACCCATGGGCTACAGAGACTGACAACAGATATATCCAAAGGGATGAGGGAAAGAGATGGGACTGAAATGTGGGATACCAGACTGCAGCAAAGATAATGGAATGGAGAGCAGGACAGAGACAGTTCATGGAGAGCACTGCAGTATCACCACAGGCTTCGGCAGGCAAGAGAAAGAGCTACAGAGGATCCTGAGCTGATATAGAATGACTACATCAGGATATTCTGGGCTTTCAAAGCCAGTGGTGAGGCAGCTGAATCAGCCAACACTCCCAGTTCAGTACCATCAGGTGAGGGGAAGGCCATACCCTGAAACCACACCCAGAGCCAATGTTCCCCTGCACCCAGCTTTACGTGTTTGGTTGTTGTATTAGAGTATGAAGCTGCTGTAACAAACTGCCACCAAAATGTTGGCTTTATTCAAAGAGCAAAAAAATTATTCTCTGAGAGTTCTGGAGGCTTGAAGTCTGAAATCAAGGTGTCAGCAGGCTGGTTGCTGCTGGACCCTCTGAAGGAGAATCTAATCTGTGCCTGACTCCCAGCTTCTGGAGGCCCCCCAGTCCTCAGCACTCCCTGGCTTGCAGCTGCTCACTCAATCTCTGCCTCCTCTCCACGTGGCTTCCCCTCTGTGTGTCTGGATCTCCTCTGCCATCTCTTGCTTATGAGGACACTTGTGATGGCAATCAGGGGCCTCCTGGGTAGTCTTATTTTCTTTATCTCAATAGCCTTACTTTAGTCAAATTTGCTACCCAAGAAGGGGCTTACTTCCAGGGGTTAGGAAGTGAGGCTACCATCAAGCCTGCTACACTCATCATTATTGATATAAAAATGAGCTTTTCTCTAGAATTTTCATGAATCAGTTTTCCTCTGGTCCTTTCAGTACTTTCTAGTTTTGAAATGAAAACTCTTTACAAGAAGCCCCTGCCAAATAGAAACCTGAGAAAAGGTTGAATACAACATCATCTAAATTAGTTGTCCCGCAGGGCATCTCTGCTGAGTTTCTCAGCTTGGTCTAACAAAACAGTAGGTGCCCCTGACGAGGAAACTCTCTGACCTAACCATACATGTTTACCCATGATCTGTCTCTTCGGTGCTGTTTCTCAGAGGCTTCTGTGATTATTTCTTTTGCTACATGTTCACAAACACTGGAGGCCAGGGCCAGACCTTTATCTCACTGTATAGCCAGAACCACTCCACACAGCATTAGGGGGACGACCTAAAGTCCTTCACTGTCACTCTTACCCCTTTCTCTATGGCCATCCCCTCACCTTCAAGTCTGTTTAAATATCTCCTCTGAGAACCTTTCTCTGACCCCCATTTAAGATTCTAAATCTTAAACAGCTGCTAGTACTGTCCAGCATTTCTTCATCTTTTATTTTTCTCCATAGAACTTGCCAGCTAACATTCTCTTTTGTTAAATGTTTTGTTTATTTAGACGTTTTCTTTATTATTACAACTACCATTAGAATATCAGCTACTTGAGGGCAGTGATTTTTGTCTGTTAAGTTCACTGCTGTCTGTAGGTCCAGCCTCTAGACTGATACCTGACACACAGTAGGTCTCTAATAAGAATTTGCTGGGTGGGGAGCATGGTGAAGGAGCTTCAGATCTGCTCTACAGGTGTTCCATCCAGTTGGATCACTCCTAAGTTGGGGATCTTTGTAGCATCAGAACACATACCCTATACCTTGCATTCTGATTACTTCTGAAATATTGAACAGGCAATCCCCAAATCTTGAATTATTTTTTTTAACTTTTCACTCGTACGATCTCTGTCTAGAACAACTAGAACTCAATAAAGACATTATAAGAAATTAAAGCTAAGAGGCTATCTCTTTACAAAACACCAGCAAAAATTGAATCCAGGGCCCTTCCTGGTGGCACAATGGGTAAGGATGCAGCATTGCAAACTAGCTACAGCTGCTTCAGTGTGAGTTCGATCCCCGCCCCTGGAGGTGACCCACATGGTGCAGCAGACCTCTCCTGACCCGCTCACTGCTCCCCTCAACAGGTTGCTCATAGACTCTTTTTCATTGGAGCCTATTCCTCTTTAGATTTGGTATGACTCTAAGACATTTGCTCTTTGGGAAGGAGCCCATACTGTGAAGATTCCAGTCGCCTTGGACACGGTAAGTTGATTTCACACTGTGTGTGTGTGTGTGTGTGTACTCTATTAGCTTGAGTTTCCATAGCAAAACAGCATAGACTCCATAGCTTCAACAACAGAAATGTATTTTGTCACAGTCCTGGAGGCTCAAAGACCCAAGTAAAGAAGCCAACTAATTCATTCCTGAGAAAGTGAGTGCACATCCTGGCTGTGACAGCTGCTTTCTTGCTGTGCCCCACATGGTACAGATAGAGTTCTCTTGAGTCTTTTCTTATAGTAGCATAAATCCTACCACTGGGGCCCCACTTTCATGACTTGATTTACCTTTGACTACCTCCAATCACAGTAATGGAGAGTTACTGTATTATATGAATTTGGGGAAGGGGGACACAAGCATTCAGGGCATTACATGTGCAGTGTAGGAAAAAGCAAGGATGTTCTTGTCCTGCCTAAAACACACATGGAGACACAGAAAGTAGCTTAGTGGCCGCCAAGACCTGGGGCCAAAGGAGGGTTTGGGCAGCAACAGCAATGACTGCAGATAGGTAAGAATTTCTTTTGGGGTAATGAAAATATCTTAAAATTAATGATGACCAAGGTTGCATGACTGAATATACTAAAAAAAACCATTTTCACTGCACACTTTAAATCAGTGAATTGTGTGGTACAGGAATTCTATCAATATCTGTTAAAATGTAAGAAAAGATTTTAAAGTGACATAGACTCTGATATCATGGTATGAAATATCTGGGGCCCAACCATTCTTCTCCTATTTGTTCACATGTGTTTATCTAAGAGAAATAATAGTGCTGGAGAAAGAGCTTTCTTGGTGGTCACCACATATGCCATACAGAATGACCTCCCATAGGCCCACTTCCCAGGAACATGAGACTTTAGTTGTAACCTCAGCCCTGTGGGCCCAAGGGAATGCTATCAGTTATAATGTAAGAATCAAATGCCCATTCAGTCTGTGTTTCTAAAGGGAAGTTTGTTCCTGCAGCTGCATCACAGCCACTGCTACAGCAACACTACAGTGCACAGCAGAAGACTCATCAGTAGGCACTGACGTCACTTTTAAAAATTATCAACAGCAATAAGAACCCCGTGATGAAGACAATGATCCAGACATGTAGGCCTGCTTGCACACAAAATTTACTCTTTAGTGTGACCCTAGAGAGAAACATGGTTACTATATTAACAAGAAATTAAAAATTCAACGTAAGAACAGCTACTTATAGGATGTGCAGAATAGATAATAGATGGATGAAGGGTAAGGATTTTCCCTAATGCAAATATGCACCATTTTCTGGTGCTTGAATTCTTCTTTTTAAGGCCAACTACCATATTTGCCATCTCTGTGCTCATAAATTTATTCTACCTTTGAGTCTATACTTTCAAAGAATGTGTCTTATACAATATTTTAAAATTCTATTTGGAAAAGCCTTCTCTGAATATCCTTCCCTGAGAGTGCAACTCTGTTACAGATACCAGTGTTTCAACGAGGTGGAAGTATAGTACCAATAAAGACAACTATAGGAAAATCAACGGGCTGCATGGTTGATTCCCCTTATGGACTCCAGGTGGCTCTAAGCGCTAAGGTATTTGGAGAATAATACCTTTACACATGTCATTTGTTACTACTTTATAACAACCTTTGTAGGGATTGCCTTTTAAATATGCGACACTATGTAAAAGTGGTGAACCTCACCTATGGGATAGGTACTTCTGAAGTTTATCTAGAACATTTATTTTCTTTTATTTATGTATACATACAAGAGCTGGGGTCTGGGTCAGAGGTGTTGGGGGGAGGGAACAAGTGGATTCACCACAGACAGAGTAGGAAGCAGAACAGGCAAACTGACTGAAACACACTGCTGAGGGGAGCAGCGGGTGAGACAGGAGAGTTCTGTTGCACTATGTAGGTCACCTCTCTGGTTGGAGATCAAACTTATGCTGCAATGGTTGCAGAGAGCTTCATAATGCTGAGACTTAATCCTTTGTGCCACCAGGGAGGGAGGCCTCTATCTAGAACATTTCTGACCCAGCTTGTCATTGTCCAGCTTGGCGGACATTCCTGGAATTGTTCTTAAAAGAACTCCAAGAACTGAAAATGACAAAACTTTCCTTCTTCCACTGTGACCTTTGGTGCTCTGCAACTCAGCATTGACTGCTACTTAGGGAGTAACATTATTTATCTTGAAAGTTATTCTGTAAGTAATTTCTCTACCTGTGGGTCACTCTCCAGGGTTCTGCTGTGGGTGAGCTGTATCTTGACGATGGCCATTCATTCCAATACCTCCACCAGAAGCAATTCTTACACAGGAAGTTTTCATTCTGTTCAGGTGTTTTGATCAACAGGTAACGGCAGCTAAAAAAGGATAAAAGCAAGCTTTCTAGTTTGTGCCTGATCTTGGGGGTACCTCTGTCAACTTTCATCATTGGTATGATGTTAACTATGGTTTGTCATATATGGCCTTTAAATTTTAAGAAATATGCCTTCTCTGCCCAATTTGTTGAGTGTACCATGAAAGGATATTGAAAAGAAACAAACCCCAAAATTAAGTTCCCCCAATCTGCTACTGGTCTTTGAGGTGCATCTACAGAGAAACCGCTGCTTTTGTCTTTTCATAAACATACAGTTACATGTCCTCCCGCCCACCCTCCATCCTGCTTTCCTTCCTTCCTCCTACCTGTTCTAATCACCCAATTTTTTTATTTTTGCCTTTATGTCCCTTATTACAGGGGTTTGGTCTCTCTGAAAATATCTTTGTTATGATATGAAATATATTGCCAATGTTTTCTGCTCTTTTATTGTTGTGGGTCTTAATCTAAATTTTTAATCAATTTTTAAAGATAATTTTGTATATGGAGTGAGAGTGTTACATCTTTGTTCTCTTAAAGGGAGTTTATAACTCCATGGGTAGATTTACATTGCACTCATGGAAGAAAGAAAATTGAGGAGCCTCTTATGTACCCCTGGAGTACTTTTCACCCACTCCATATATCTCCCTTCATTGTTGTCTCCATATTCCTGTCCTTCCCCTCTAAAAGATCTTTTACAAGAATTTAAGTTTTCATTATCCCAGTTATTCATCCAAGTTACAATTCATTATCTGATTTATTATAAATTGATTCCAGTGTCCAAGTCATGTCTTAATTTCCTTATGCAATGTTCTCCAAATCTTGTCAAAGAGAAATTGGTTTGGCCACTGTCTAGTTAGTCTTTGGCACATAAAGTCATCTTTCCCATCTCTCCATCTTAGTAAATATGACCTACAGGTTCATAATGCCATAGGAAAAGATTGGAAGGGAACTCACAAGGCTCGGTTTATTGACCAGACAACCAATCCAAATCCCTCTTCCTCTCCTTTCTTTATGCCATTTGTGTCTTTTCCAGCTGTGCGGATGAGAGGGGTCATTATCTCAGCAAGTGTATGGTGGAGCAGATCTGGGTCCTAGGCCTCAAGCAGCAGCCATCTTCTGTGACTACCCACTCACCTGGTGAGGAAATTGGCCATCTATATTTGTAAACACAGAAGTATTTGCAGTAAAGAGATAACTAGTCCTAAAATTTAACATCGTGTTCTTAGCCCAAATAGACTCTATACTTTCTAGCAGAGAAAGTACATTTGTATGCAAGGCCAGCCTGCTTCTCTTCATCACCTGGCCTTTCTACTAACTATAAGCTATTAATACTTTTCTAAGAGAAATTAGAGACTTGAATCAATGTTATATAGCTTCTTTTTTTTTTTATTTTAATAAACTGTGGCAATCTGAAACCCTGGAGAATACTATCCCTATTTATGGAATTTATTAAAGGGCACAGAATGAGATGTATCCTTTCTTACCTATTGCATTTCTTAGGAAAAAAAAACATTTTGCTCCTTACAGTTTCTTTTCAACCAATATGCATTTAAAATAAAGGAGTATTTCATATCATAAAAATTCATGGAAGTCTATGATTTAAAGGGCTTTTAATTTGGATCCTCCTAACTTGGATAGAAGGTTTAATGACATAGTAAGCAACATTTCAAATACAAAGAAAATATTTTCTCTCCTACATATTTATCAAACTTTCCCTTTTATTATTTTGATATTTAGGTAGCAAAGATCAGCCTGTGGCTTTTACATATTGTGCCAGAACATCCACCCTGAGACTACAGAAGCTCTCTCTGCACATTGGCGCTGACTGGGAGGTCTTCATCAAGTGACAGAGCGTGAACCTCGTGACGGGTGCAGGGAGAGCTTGCACCTTCCCGTCTCCCTGGGCCTGTACTGTGCTGCGTGTTAGTTGACTGCCTGCGCTCAAAATAATCAGTCATTAGTTCCGAGTTTACTACTAAATAAGAGAGTTCATATTTTTCAAATTGTACCTTTTTTAGATCTACTAGTAACATACTTATGACAAATACAAGTAACCCTGAGACATTTTAGAGTTAAGGAATTTTCCACTGTTTCTTGGACATGGCCCTGTGCTAAGCACTGTGGTTCAGGGAGAAGCTTCTCTGAGCATTTCTGGATGGCCTTATTTTACATAAGATATGGCCAGACCCACGTTGTGTGGCCATTTGTCAGCGTTTGCCTTGGGTCTTGAAGCAGAATCACTTTGGTTACAGCCAGAGTTGCTAGAAGCTTAGCTCCAAGTAGACAGGAGCTTCTATCTCCTCTTGCCCACGTCGTTATCTTTCTCCCTCTCAGCGGTGAACAAAACAACCTTTTACTGCTTGCACTGCATGTGCTGCAGCAATAGGTGGTTATTCTGCCCTAGAGACAGACTCAGGAGCACAAAGGATTCTTTTCCCTTTATTTCAGGCTCTAAAGTTCCAAATTAACTTTTTAAGTTCTAATTTCTTTCTTTAATTGCTTGTATTAAATGATGTCTACTGACCAGGGAGTATTTGTAACATGAGTAAGCTGAAAGTTAGAATAATAAAATCAATAACCACATCCCCACCACTAAACTTCAGAAGAACACAGAACTAGAGCAATGGTTAGGCAATGAGACACTTGCCGCGGGTACAAAATACAAGACGGTAAATAATATTTTAATTTTAATAAATAATATTTTAATATACTATTTTTTAAATCAAAAGTAACGCCAAAAGCCCACAATGAACAAAAGGTCAAAAATTTAAATAAAGACAGGATCAGCATTACTGGACTTTCCTTCTGCCTCAGGCACCAGCATGGCTTGACGTGGATTAGGTTTTCAGGATGCTCCTTGCTCCCTGCCTCTCTGTCCTTAGCACAGTTCAACATGTACGTTTTCTCATCAAGTTTCCTCCATAAATTTCCAGCCGTCACCTCTGTGCCTTCTGTTCCCTGGCACTCAGTATACCCCTGCCGCTCTTCTACCTATGCAATTATTACCATCTTTCCAGGCCCATCTCAAATTCCACTCTTCCATGAAGTGTTCCTACTACCCTAACACCTTTACCCTCCCCCAACACCCACAAGCAGTAATTTGCTCTCTTCTAAACTGCTGACTTTCCCCTTATACTAGCATTCTCAGGGATAGCCCTTTCAGGTTTGTGCATGCCTTATTTGTCTTACATCTGCTAGAGCACCCCTGCCTTTCAGTAACTATTAACTATTGTTAGTTAGCTGATGGATTTGACTGAATAAAAAGTGACAATTGAGGATGCATTTATTCCTGATTTGTTTTTCTGACATTGTATTCTTCCCTCCAAGTACAGTAAACATTGGGCACTTTTCAGTGTATCAGCTAAGATTTGAACTTTGTGCCACAGAGAAGCTCACATAGACATATGCATATTCTTTCTTCCTGTTTCTGTAAGTTTTGCTACTAAAGAGAAAGGAAGAAACCTACATTAGTTGATATCATATTTTCCAGCTTTAAAGTTCCCTTGCCAACCAAATCAGGCAACCTGAAAACTGGGTGCTTTTACATAATGTAAGTGATGCTGAATGTTTTATATAACATTTAAAGTTAAATAATAAAGCCCTATCTTTGGGTCACCATCTACTGCATATATTCTTCATTTTAAATATTTTTGGAGGAAGGAATAAAATGAGATAGGAGAAATCTATACTGAAACATTTGACCAAAGACATTGAGTGGCAAGAGGTATGGTCTAGGTATTTTTCATTGTTCTCTGCTCTCACTGTTTCTTACATCTCATCCATCTGCTGTTTCTGAATTTATGTACCAGAGAGCTATGGGGGCTGAACTGGCCTACACATGTTCAGTTATCTTGTGTGAATAATTCATGATAAGGTTTTTCAAAAATCTGGATTGTATATAAGATATTAGAGTCATTTCAACAGGCATTCAAACAAAGCTCTAAAATAGATACATACTGTAGTTTGCTTTCAAGGCTTAGGCTGAAGAATGAATTTACAAAACAGAAACTGGCCAAAAGAAATATGAGCATGGAAAAGTCACAAAAGAAAGTAAAATAGACAAAATAAGCATGAAACATACTCATTCTCATTAATAATCAAAGAAATTATTTCCCCCCAATTAGCTAAGATTAAAAAGAGGGAAAATATCCAATGCTATTGTTCGTGTGGGGCATAGGGGTTCTTGTACATAATTGGTGGAATTATAAAAAAGTACAATCTCTCAGGATAGCAATCTGGCAATAGTATCAAGATTTTAAATTTACATACTCTAACCTAACAGCTGCACATTTGCTAAAAGAATAGTCACTTATGGGCCCTCTCTGGTGGCGCAGC